ATATATATAGATATTAACATGGACTCAAGCCTCTTACGGTATCTTTTTTGAACTGTTCATTTCAAATCTTCACATGTTAAGGGCAAAACTTTTTTAGATCTAAGGACATGTAATCTCTAATTGAGATCACAAATATGAAAAAATAAATAAATTTTAAAAATTGCAAATAATAATTCTAGTAAAAAAGCATTTGTACCGTTAGTTTCCATTGTTTTTAAGATGAAATACCCATGTATATCCATCTTTAAAATGGATGCTTTACACTTTTTGAACTGTATAGGTAGTCATGCGGTCCACCCTGCATGAAACAATTTTCCTTTTTTTTTTTAATGTTGACTAAGTTATGTTAGTCAAGGAATATGAACGATGAGAAGTTCTACAGATAAAAAAAAAAAAAAAAAAGCGAGAAAAAAAAAATGAATTTCCACACTGTGTGACCATTTACTATTGTTATAATGAGATCACAATCACTCCTAACTATTAGATGTCAAATTGAACAACTTGAAATGTGTCACAAAGATTTTTGAAAGTTTTTTTTGAATTTTGAGTTTTATCGATGACACACTTAGAACAACCCAATTTAAATTCTGCCAAACAAGAGTGATTATGATCCTTGTACTACAAGTAAATGGTCTATTTGTATACTTTTTCAAAAGAAACCAAAAACAGCAAAATTACAATTACAACACCAAAAAAAAAAAAGGTAAAAAAAAACCGATAAGTTCCTTGATATGCATCTTCATTCGCCTACCAGCGGTTCTTCACTGCAATTTGCCACGCTTCAGTCAATCATGTCTTTGTTCACTCCTGTCAGGCATCTGCATCCTGATTTCTATCCCAATTGCCATACACAATCTGAAATTCTTTTCTGTGTAGGCCGTTTTTCGTTTCATCCGTGATGCATCTCCAGTTCCACAGGATTCTTTTTGACGAATTTCGCCAAGCCATCACATTTGTCGAATCTTTCTCGTGACTAGGTAGGAGAGACAACCTCCCTATTTCACATCAAAAAGTAATGCTTAATTCACACAGGAAGTCCGGCACAGGCTGAGAATGAAAACAATATGTTACCCTCTGAATTCCATGGGTTTCTAATTGCACTACAAAGAAAGTTGTGTTTGAATCATCCTTCTGGAGGGGGTAACCAGTATCTTGGCTTTAGGACCTTTTTCCTTGGCAGAGCTACCTGCTTTAGGTTCACAACAAAATCAAACTTTGGAAGACATCTAAATTCCTGTCTCCACAGTATCTTCAGGGGTTCTTTTACTCCTCTCTTTCAATACCTGACAAATAATTGCTGCCATTGATATCCTCCACGACTTGATACCATCTTTTCGAAGCGGCAGCGATGCAAATTGCCGCAATAGGTGCTGGACTGATGAGGGTATAACCCAGCTATAGTCAAGAGTACTAAGAAACCAACTCTAAAGAGAATTAGCCAAAGGGCAATGGCTGAAAGTGTGCACATAAGTTTCTCTATCTTGTTTGCTTAGCAAACAAATATTTGTGATTACCATCCCCCTCTTACGTAGGTGGTCTACAATGGGAGCTCTATTCCACATTGCAAGGAATATAAATGCTTGTGCTAAAAAATGATGCTTTTCTAGCATTTGGAACCACACAAATCTGTTTCTCCATCGCAATTTTCTGATAAAGTGACTTGACTGTGAACGCCCCCTCCGTGCTTATCTCCCTCCATGCTCATTTGGTCATTCAGAGCATATATTGAGGATCTACACCAATTCCTAAAATTGACTAGCAGCTAGATCATTAACCCTTCGGTTTCTTAGCCTGAGAGCCTCCTTACCTTCACCAGTGACCACTTCCTTAGCCACTGCATCAAGCACGACGCCTCCTTGATACAAGTCTGGGAATTGAGTTTCAGAGAGACTCACCTATCCACTTTGAATTCCATAACAAAGTTCTCAACCCTTCTCCTATTAGTATTTTGTTATGCTGTATTAGAATCTATGCCCCTCCAAACAAATGAAGCTGGTTTTCTCCTTATTAGCTTTATTAAATAGGAAAACACCATAGGAGAGAAAGAAACAGATAAAGAATGGGTGTATTCATACCATGTTCTTTTAAAGAAACATTGGGAGAAAACATTAGATTTTTCATATTATTGCAACATATTATCGCAAAGCTTTGCAGCACAGAAACTGTATTTTCAGCATAATTTTGAGTGCACCCTACTTAAATAGTATAAGATTGACGTCTTATAAAAACCAAAAATACGCAATTCTTCCTATCAATGAAAAAACCTCTTTCTTACCAAAAAAGCTCTAGATCCGCATTTTTCTCATTTCTCTAGGGTTTTTGCTCAATTATCTTAAAAAAAAAAAAAAAAAAAACATTGATATATCAAGTTTCCACCCTTTTACAGTTAAAATCACTGATTTTAAATGTTCGACGTAAATTTCTTATTTCAAAATATTTGTTGATGGAAACAATTAAAATGAGGGAAGAAATAATTGAAATGATTTATTCCTTAGTAATAAGAGAGGAAATAGCAGTGATATCTTCAATTCAAATAACTGACTTAATTTCCTAATAAGGTAAAAAATAGTTGCGACCTTCTCCTGTTATTTTATTTCAAACAATGTGTGTTGTTCTACCTTTTTTCTTTTCCAAGAAATGTTTTGATAGGGTTCACACGTATCAGTATAAGCAAAGTGTCACCACTAAACCCATCGATAATTAAAGTTTCCGTGGCAGAATCCTTAGCCTTGGCCATTATGGTTGTGAAAGAAAATTAGGATTTAAGCCCGGTATATTATAACAAAAAAATAAGGGTTCACAATCCGCAGATCTATACCGCTTTTTGAGGCTCAAATTTCATAATAGGCGTTGGAAATTGATTTCATGAAAAAAAGAATTTATTTCCATCTAGTTGCTCCTACATTTGATGGCTTACAAAGTGGAAACAAAAATAGCTGCATAAAGTGATCGTGTAGCAGTAATAACAAAGGAAAAAGTTTATATAAGGTAGCAACCTTACCTCTACAGCTACGGATGTAGCTCAAAAATCCATCACATAAGATAGTTTTAATGTTGAAAAACCCTTTGATTGATCATCACGACATCGAGATGTATGACCATGAAAAATAAAAAGATTTTAAGTCTTAGAAATAATGCATTTTACAATATATTATCTACACCGTCCATTTTCAATATTTTCATATGTTTATAGATCTACTTGATTTTAACCATTTTTGAAATTTAAAATTTTATAATTAGATGTAAAAATAGATTTTGAGATAATCCTAAGAACATTTTACATCAAAATTATATACGATGAAAAAATTTGAAGACTCACCTTACCTCTACAGCTACGGATGCATCCGTGTGCCAACTGCACCCAATAACAAAATAACATGGTTATTTATTAAACACAAGCACCATACCCAAAAGATTTCTATTAGCCAACATCACAAAAACAACAAGAACAGGAATACATTAACATTCAAATGCATCAAAATACCAATTCAGAACGACAGGTTCACCTTATTTAGTCTTTTCCATGAGATGCAAGCTTTGAGGGACATGCGCGACTCATGTCTGATGTAATGGAGTAGGCTGATATTTCACTCGGTCCACCATAAGAGGAAGTCCTTGCGACGGTTAATCTTCTTCTGCAATAGGAGGACTCCATAGAGAGGAGCCTCAGCTCTTGGGGGGCACCCGGGAACATATATGTCAACAGGGACGATTCGGTCACAGACATGCACCACAGAGTAGGAATAGTGATAATAACCTCCACCATTGGCACAGCTGCCCATTGAAATGACCCAACGAGGCTCTGGCATTTGGTCATAAACCCTATGGAATAATTGAGATGCAAATGAGTTACAATAAAACAACACTCTTACTCAAAAACAAAAAATGCAATCCTTTGTTATATCATAAAACCATATTCAACGTTCGTGAGGGTGTTTTATAAGTATAATGCAAAACACTACCGTGGAAGACCTCATACTGATTAGGGCGCTATTTAGCAGGATCTCTATACAAAAGAGCTCTTTTTAGGAGAATCTCTATACAAAAGACACACGCCGCACAAATGATCTACAATGCTGGGAGGTCAAAATATACTAATTCAGGGTAAATGGCTTGCAAAATCCACTCTGCCACAGATGGAATGGGGACTTCCCTCATCACGAAAAACTTACAGCACCGAGTTGCTATGTCAGAAATGACATGACACTCACATAAACAGATGATCAACACACAATCATTATCCAAGGCTTATCCCAACTATTTGGGTTAGCTACATAAATCTTATTCTACCATCTGCTCTATCAAGAGCCACACCCTCAGTGAGACACAACCAGATACTTTTATGATTTTATCTAATAAAATTGCCTTCAGTTTATCCATGATGGATATCTAGGATGAGTCAACATGCTACAAAATTGGCATCAGTTAACCCATGATGGATATCTAGGACGAGTCAACAAGCACTGAGAACACGAGACAACATTGACCACTGGAAACAATTTGACACTTGTTTCATAGTGACAAACTCATGAACATGATGCCACATCACCATGTCATTAGGCTTCTCTGAGGTCGTAGAAATGTACCAAGCAATTTCCTTACCTCAATCAATTGCACTGCACTTCACCTCTTTGGCCAGGTACAGCCATAACTGCATGATGGTATGCAATCCAAAACCTCTCGACACTTTCGACAAAACCAATTCAAGCAATAACAAAATGGAAGTATACTTAAACCTTCCATACAACAGAAATGAAGTATTTGGCCAGGTACAGCCATAACTGCATGATGGTATGCAATCCATAAAAAACTAAGTCAAGCAATAACAGAATTGAAGTATACTTGAACCTTCCATACAACAGAATTGAAGTATTCACAGTTTCCCATTCTATGGAATTTTGCATCAGCCACCCCCATCTAACCCTTCCCCTGAAACCATTGTCGAAGAGCTTGGCTGAGTTCAATCCCACCAAATATCCAAACAGTTGGGTGGATTCTGATCCTGAAAAAAGCCCTCACAGTCAATCACGGACCCGAGGAGGTATGCCCATTCCTAATCGAGGTATGATGTGCAAATCAGCAGAGGAAACCGACCACCACCACCTTTTCACACATTGTGAGGTGGCCGCTACCTTACAGGGAGATTTGCTACAAGGCTTCCATTGGCCTTGGCTTTTACCACAGTTATTGCTGCAGCTGTTCTAGGTATTCTACTCACCTCCTTACCCAGTAGCATTTATTTTCCTTTGGCATGTTTCAATGGAAGCTATTATTTTTGGACCCTCTGTGCCGAAAGCGATGCCAGAACTTTCGAGGGCAGGCAGACAGGTTTCCTAAACAATTGGCAGGCCACATTAGTTGTTAGACCGCCCCAAATCTCCTGTTCCTGGCCAGATAAAACTGAATTTTGGCAGTTGCTCTTTTGGCAACCCAGGTCAAGCCGGCTTGGCGACCTCTTATGGGATAACAACAACAACTCCCTCCTCTCCTACTCAAGCTAAATTAGGTTTGTCGAATCCACCATGGCTGAAGTTTTGGCTCTCCTTGAGGGCATTAAGAGATACAACCAAGCATGGGGAGAAATTTTGATCATCAAAGGTGACTCAGAAAACACCAATTCTTGGGCCTTGGGGGCCTTTCCCTGCTCTTGGAGATTTGAAAATATTTTTGAACAAGTTTAACATTTATGCAACCATATTCGCACCAAATTTACAGGGGACTCTCTCAACCAGGCAGGCGTGAGTTTCGGAAATAACATGGCAGCCACTAAGGCCCACGAAAAATTAAACTCCCCCTCCGCCTCTCTCTCTCTCT